GGTGTACCATATAGGCTAATGGTTTGAGAATGATATCAGTCTCCCAAGATTGGAGTTGCATCACAGAATTTATTGTGAGGGACAATTTATAGAACTATGAGCATCAAATGTATTCACTTGAGCTTATTCAGCACTACTTTTTAGCCATGAAATAATGTTTTCCTCTCACAACATTTCGGTATAAGCATCAGCATAAATCAAATTTCAGCATAAGCGAACAGGGATCCATCACTAATAGCTATCTACTAACCAACAAAAACCAAGCACTACTTGGTGCACAAGATTGAAGAAGCTTAAAATCAGACCTTGTTAAGAATGCAGTAATTACGATTAAATTAACCTTTGTTCTGCAATCTCGTGGCCTTGGAGGTGTGCACACAATCCAACAATGTGCATGTTTCCACGGCATGTAAAGTTGTAGCACTCACGTATTGGTTTTGCTGGTTATTTGATAGCTTACTTGCCTGATGACAAATCATGATTGCAGCCCTAGCAGGTTTGACCTTAATCTGTTTTGCTATAAAAAAAGAGAATGTATCTGGTGCAAACCAACCACCCCGTGCAACATTGAAACTACGAATCAGAGCCACAAGATGCTAATCCAATGGACAGGGTTAGATATGAGATTATTTTGCGCTTAAGCCGCCCCTCCAGCCGGCCACTTTTCCAATACCCCCCTGCCCCCTCACGTCCATTTCTGGTTGGAAAAGTGTGTGGCTGGTGGGGGGCTTAAGCGCAAATATTTTTTTAGGCCAGATAGCCAAAACAAAAAAATCAATAGTATTTAATGGTGAAGCTTCTATTTCAGCCAGACTACACAAACACTATTTTAAACGACAAAGCCAATCTAAACTGAATGATCAGGCCAATTCATGTAATCGATTCTTGTGTAGGCAAACACAAAAATCAGGAAATAAAAATATATGATATATTTTGTACAGCTGTTTAAGGAATTAGGTGCATTAATGGAAAATAATTTCCCTAGCTCACAGAAACATTTTATCAAACAACTGGAGTGCGGAATAGAATTGATTCATTTCAAATCATTTTTATGAACATGTATGCACGTGATGGATCATTAACCAATCTAGACTAACAGGAAGAGGAGGGGAGGGAAGCCGTGACCTTGTATATGGTCAGCAGGTGAATTGATGGTGTCCGATCTTCGACATACGTGTTCAAACACCTGGTGCCATGATCGAGTGAATCTTCAGCTCCCGCAGGCAACCATGCAGAAATTGTGGCTTAATTAAAATCATTCAATCATCCATATGCAAATTGAGGGAAGGATTATAATACCTCACTGACACTCATGGCTGAAGGGGAGATGCAGGCAACGGACGAGACGACGCCGACACCAATTCTACCAATCTACCACCGTCTACCGTGTGCTCAACACTGCTGGATCCGAAATTCCGAATCGCCTGGTGGGGGAAGGATTGCAGCGCAGTTAGAAGGGTGAGGGGCGGATCTGAGGGTGCCGAGGAGTTAGGCAGTTGGCGGCGCCGAGGTGGGATGCGAAGGGCAAAGGCCAAGGGACGCCCCGACGGCAGCGCCCCCGGTGGCGCCGGAGGCCGGACTGGATGGGGGCCGTCGCCGCGGACTGCCGCCGTCGGACGGTGCTCTGGGCAGCGGCCGGGCGAAGCTGTGGGCGGCGGCCGGGCGGCGCGGAGAGCGGCTAAAATTTGCTACGTCAAAAGATTTGACACGCGATGATTTTGACTATTGTTACTTGTCAATATTTTATATTTACTAAAATTCTCATATGTAAGACGTTTGACTTTTTTACAACACTCATCTTATTTGTGCAAAAAGTTTTTCATTCTTTTTTTAATCAAACCTCGCGTGTGTCGTGATCCTTTGTCCAAAATTTTGAATAAGGGCTGTGGTCAAACTTGGTGTCAAAAAAAGTCAAACGTCCTGACAATTTAGAATGGATTGTGCGGAGCGTCAAATGCACAAAAAATTTAATAAGAAAGCTGGAGGCGTGAAGCTTTGACGCGCCTCGTGTGTCACGTCAAATGCACAAAAAAATTAATAAGTGTGGAGAGCTTTACGCGCCGCCTCGTGTGTTCGGCTCAGGTATCTCTTCCTCTACGATTTGTGATTTGTCTTTTCATAGAAAAAACTTATTTCTTGTGATATGTGGATATGTGGATCTATGATCTTGTGGTTTATGATTGTCTAGAGGTAGAAGGAGAATTGAAGCCGTTGGATCTTAATTCTATGGTGTAAAAAAATTTATGTGTTGAAACTATATAAAAGCACATAGTTGTTGGGTAGACAGACTTAATATTTAACTTATCAAATTCTTGATAACTTTTTTTTATCTAATTTTGGCTTGTCAAATATTTGGTATGTCAAAATTTGGTTGTAAACCAAAGAGACTCTCAGTCATGCAGGAGGGAACAAAATTGGATGCATACCGTATCCACCCTGCATACATGTCGTTGATAGTTGCCACGTTATTCAGTTTCACCGATCCAATTCAGTTTCACCGATCCAACAGCTCGCACGCGCTCGGCTCCCACGCGCTTTGGCAGTTTCACTGATCCACCTCCAGACTCTCTCGTCCGTGGTTGGCAGGCCGCATGCCCGCATGCGTCGGATTGCTGCTGGTGAACACGTATTGTACATCAAAGGCGTGTTTGCACAGACGATATGTGCATCCAGTATGCACTGGATTTTTTTCCAGTCGGGGAGGCTGGGAGTCGGGTGCGTGCGTGGAGTCAGCGATGGAGGGGAGTCGGAGGCACGTTGAGGTGTCGTTGACGTCCCCTCTTTCGTCTTTTTAGGAGCACAGATGATGTATCTGGAAAGTCCTAGCTAGGTTGAGAAATTTAGGCGACGTGGCCCAATCACTGCTCGGGAATTGTCCGCAGCTTTCGTCAAGTAGAGATTTGCAAAATTACAGGTCACTAATAAATTCTGGTCCAGTCGGTCAAAGCCTGTCCTTGCTGTCCATCTGCTTCAACTTTCCATGTCCACCTTCATAGTATCACTAGAAAACAAAGCGCGGCGTTGCCGCGCGGCTGTGGAGTGTCCGTAGCTGTGAAGCCAGTTTTGACAATGCATTTCAACGTTATTATCTAACTAATAATGTATTATTAGATCAGAATAAAATCAAGAGATCACGGATCTCTCCTGCAAAGCCTGTCATCACTCATCAGCATAAAAGAAGGGTCAAATGATGCAGAGGAAACATGACGTAATTTTCTGCCAGAAGCTTTAATAGGGAATAAATAGCAGTAGCACAATTATAATTAATACAGGAAAAGCACATGCGCTGAGTGCTACTGATGTTTTTAGCCTGAATATGCTTTGTTTTGGAATGTTCTAACATTTAAAATAGTTGATTCCATTAATAAGCTTGCTGAAAAGTAACACGTGGCGTTGCCGTGCACCCGAGTGGAGTGCCGACTTTTTTTTATTTTGAATCTGAAAATGTTGTGTGGCCTAGGCGAGGTAAGGTAAAATTGTAAAAAGGAATCCAAGATAAAAGTTCAGTAAATAAAGAGTGAGGACCGAGTATCTAAGATTCTGAGGAAGATGTTTCGAGCAAGAAAAATAAAGAAATAGTAGGAGAGGACACAAAAGAATGTAGAGTAACCTATTGGTAGGTTATTGTTAAGCCACAAAAGGGAGCTGGATATGGCAGCTCTCACTAAAATTTGTATTTCACATTAAAATAAAATATGGAGTAACCTATTGAGTAGGTTAGTATAGAAAACACTATGGGCTGGTTAAGCCACAAAAGGGAGCTGGATATGACAGCCCTCACTAAAATTTGCATTTTACCTTAAAATAAAATGTGGAGTAACCTATTGAGTAGGTTAGTATACAAAACACCGTGGGCACATAAGGGAGCCTGGATATGGCAGCCCTCACTACAATTTGCATTTGACATTAGAATAAATTAATAACCATGGCGACAAAGCCATAAAGCATGAATACTGACATGAAGTAATAACTAATAAGTCCTGAGACTTGATAACTCAAACATTACAAGTAGTTACAAAAATAAAACTACTGATCAAGGCATACTCATCTGAAATCTTCTCAGAGAAATTCAGAAGGTCAATAAGAGAGAATCCATTCCTATCATATAAGAAAATCTTGAAAACAGGCCACTTCCAGATCTTGCATCAGAAGCTTGGTTACGTGAAAATAAACAGGACTTGTGGCACAACATCAACGGCCTGATAATTGCAATGAGCCTAGCCTGGATGCAACAAGCACATTTTTTCTAGCATGGCTAACCCAGGTTACTACCATACAAAGTACTGAGTATTAACTGACACTGATATAGAGCTCTTGAGTAAAAGAAAAGGGGGTATTAATCAAATTTATTTTTCTCGTGGGGATAGATATTTGACAAATGTAATTGAACATCCTTATGCATACACCATAGTTAAGTAGTAGGACCTCTCTTTCTAGGCCTGGGAAACTACCCCATATGAAATATTGGGGTCATTTAGTAGCCGTCAAATTTTGATGATTGAATCTTCAAACTACAACATCATTAGCAGTTATCAAGTAAGCCTCAGTTGATGCCATTGTGAAATGTGAATTGGCTGCAGCTCAAGTTGCACGACAGTTCTTGATCAGCTGGACCACAGTATTGGTACAAAATTGCAAATGCAAGAGCAGGACATCCAATTGAGGAAAATTTTCAAAGCAATACAAGGAAGCAAACCTTTGGGTGGCTACTGAAGGATGGAAAGATCATGGAGTTCTGCTGCAAAAATTTGTTCCTTTTTTTTTCTGAAACGAGCACAAATGTGCTCCTTATCGAGCAGCAAATAGCACGACCGGATATACTCGCTGCTGGGCCAAATCTGCATGTCTGCCCTGTCGCATCGTGGCCGCGGCGGGTTCCCTGTAGACCGGCGCTGGGGAGGGAGACACGGTGGGTGCAGCGGCGGCGTCCGGGACGCGTGCGTGTCCAGTGGACCCGTCGTATCTTCTTCCTTGCGTGTGTTGCTGCCCGTGGTTGAGGGATGGCCCCCAACTTGCATCACTATGGAAGGGCCGAAGTGGTCAGGCCTGGGACGAGGGCCGTGGCGGAGGGAGGTGCGGGCGGCGAGGCGTACGAAAGGAAGAAGCCGGCGGGCAGCGCAGCTGGTTCGAGCATGCTTAGCGGCGGCGTGAGCAGCATACCGCGGTCCCCGGCCACCATGCTCACCTGTACTCGACGCACGTGCCTGTCCCCGTGTCTCACCGCCCTCGGCTGGCCGCCCCCGCGTGGCCTCGCCGATCTCCCTGCCCGCGCGAGCGAGTTCGCGAGGATTAGCCGGAAGAGCATGGCGGGCTCGCGGGAAGTGCGGAAGGGAGGGTGGCGGCGGCATTACTGCAGGCGGCGTGGGTGAGGCCGATGGGCCTTCGAGAAGGAGAGCAGTGCGGCCCGAGGCAGAGGGACGGAGTGCTCAACCGAGCGGGTTTAGGAGCATTCGCGTGTGTCCAGGTTCATGGCTTATCGGGTAAGACACCCGCTACAGCCCCGATCCAACGGTTGATATTGCATCTTGGCTGGATCGGACGGCCAGTGGGCTAACGGGCGACGTGGCCCTATCCATTAGCCCGCTTTTGAGAGCAGGATTCCTATATAGAGACTAGAAACTAAGCGCGGCGTTGCCGCGCAGTTGCCGGTGTTAGGCTACCCCCGATGTCAACGTGAAGTAGAAATGACTGCATTCACGTTAATGTATCTATTTACTTATATAGTGGCGCAAAATATAAAAGAAGCATTGTTAATTGCAAGACTAATAAATTTTAACACATATCTTTTATTTTTGAAAAGGAGGAAGTGGGAACACCATTTATATATCACTCTCAGAGAAAAGGACTGCGGTTGATGAAGCTTTATATACAACAAAATGCATTTCCCTTTGTTACATCACCTTCTCATTAATATATCAATCATAATGATATTCGAAAATTGGAGGCATTTCAAAGGAGGTAAAGAGATGGAGTATTCCTCCTTCCCGTAGATAATTAAAATTGCATTAAATCTTGGTAGGATGAATCCTTAAAAATTACTACATGAAAAAAAAAGTAGGATCGACATATAAAATGTGGCAGTACGTAGATATATTGTATCTTTTCTGAACTCCATAGTGAGTTTGTGCTCTTTGAGAAATATAAAAAAACAGGAAAGGCTGCAGATACTTTACAACCTATATGATACATGGACACTTGACAGTACTCCTCTAGAGATGCTGGTACGGATTGGACAAAAATTTAATTTTAGTATGAGATCAGATGTCAATTTTTAGAAATCACGGTCACCGCTTAACGCTTGTTACTATCTCTTTGGCATAGGTAGTGAGCTGAAGGTGAGTTGCTTACCTATGCTCTACATCATTAGCCACCCTCTTTGCTGACTCCACCGCTGGCCCTTGGATGGAGTCATGGCATGGAGCACAAAACAGATTTCTCATAATCAAACCACTCATCAATAGTTCCCTGCTACAAGCAAGTAGGGCATGGAAAATCCATCAAACAGAAGAAATATCATATGCCTAAGTTAGGATATGGGGATGAAATCCACGTGCAAAAAAACTTAAACATAATCAGCGCACTGAAATCCATAAAACAACAATTAATCTCCAACACATTTTGTTCACGTCCTGTTCTAGCTAACCTGTGTAGAATGGAAATCAATTAGCCAACGACCACGGCACAAAAGAAAGAAAGAACCTCTCTAGAACGCACGCAAGAAAGATTGGAGCAAGGAGCTTTAGTTTTTTTTGTTTTGGTTTGGTTTTTTAGGTGTGCGCCCCTACTGGTATTCAGAGAAAAATGGAAATCATTTCTTTCCCGCTCCCGAGGATTGCACGCAATTTGAGGTGGCGTTGTTCCATGGAGGCGAACAATCGTGAGCATGATCTGGATAAGTACCGGAGAAAGAATAGAAATTGCGATAAACAAATCTAATAGCCGATTGATGTGGTTGTTGCGACCATTAATTGATTGTGTTGCTGTTAGCAACGAAAGGTTAAGGAAAAGGATTTTTTATCTAGTCTAGTCACAAAAAGCATGGTTGAAATGCAGTACCAAGCAGTAAACCATACAATATTTGACACAATTAAAACAGTCGCTACCATGACTCCATATCATATCATGGGTTTGCGTTTATTCAGTATATTTGGATGATTTCACAGAACAACAAGTAATACAACTATAAGAGATTTTTTTATGTTACGACAGTTTGGATATTATAGTGCCTAATTGAGAGATTAATCAGGCAGCAGTAGAATAGCACAACGTTCTAAAAACACAGAAGAATTGTTCACTTACTCTTTATCAGCCGCAAGCTTGACTTTTTGCTCACTTTGGGGCCAACAGGCACCACTTTACTAGCATTCGGTGCCTTGAGCAACATTGTCGAGCAGAGAATTGATTCTACATCGTTTCTTCAGTTCTACGCACACAAATACAACGTGGAAGTCCAAAGTGAACAAAAATCAAATCTTTATTTGAACACTTCCGAATGCTACTTCCCCAGAAACATTGTCAAATAGTGAATTAATGTACACTTCAAAAACATAAGCTAATACGTTTCTCCAGTTGAATACCTACATCATCCAAAAGGCACAAAATAAGAAGTGTAGACTGCGACCATCCATTAAATTAAAAGCGTGAAAGGAAATAGAATCAAAGATAGCTACTCGCCCAGGGACATTTTCAGGTAAAAAATTGATTATGCACTTGAAACAATAACATCTCATTTTTACTGAAAAACAAGGATCAGTGGGGCAGGGCTTCACCTTGAGCGCGTGTTCAATCTCCCGGTTGTTTGCGTTGGCTCAGAGCAGATGGTCCCGGATGGCTCTCCTCGGCATTGAGGTCGTGGAAGGAGAAGGACACGAGGAAGTGGTCTGCCACGCCAGTTGCCAACGCCATCGCCGGTGGCTCGCGCCGTCCAGGGAGCACTGTCGTGATAGTTAGCTGGCTGGCCACCTATTCAAGCAAATGGAGGAGACGGAGGCAAGTGAACGGCCATTTCATCAAGCACCCTGAGGACGTACCTCCGCCGGCTGCAGTAGACGTATGAGTTGGCGAGATTCTTGGCGACAAAGGCGTGGAGCGCAGCACCTACACGGACTCAGGTTGGGTGTCGTCCCGCGTTTCGCTTCCATCGTCGTTGCCTCAAGCTGTGCGTTTGGTTGCGTGCCGGGGTCGATGACCGATGGCGGCAGGCGAACTACGGAGCGCGGCGACAATGGCCGGGACACGAGTGTAATGCTTGAGGAGCCAGTCCTTAGTGAGGAATTATAGCCTCGATCCGATCCCACCAGATCCGTAGCCACTAGGCCTTCCTCCCACCTGATCGTCCTCCCCACCATGAAAGATACTTCGACGGGTGCGGAGGCGGCTCTCGGCTGGCGGCGGCTGGGACGGGGGTGGTGCTCGGCGGGGTGGCTGTGGCGGCCGTGGCGGAGGCGCGGCCGGGCCCGGGCCTGTGGGAAGAGGACGTCGGGGCCTCCCGCCGAGGTGACGCTCGGCGGCGCGGCCTGGGCGGCCTGGGACGGGGATGGCGCTCGGCAGGGACGGGACCGGTGGCGGCGGCGGAGGCAGGAGCCAAAGGAAGCCAGCGTCGGCCCAGGTTCACGACGATTCGTGGTTGACCAGGTTTGCGGGTTGATGGGCGAGAGGCCCGATCAGACCCGCATCGGACGGTCAGTATTGCGTGACGGGTCGATCGAACGGCTCGTGGGTTAATGGGTGACGTGGCCCTAGCAGGTGCCCGCGGTTTGGGTGCAGGATTCCTATAAGAAGATGGCATCCACATGGAAAAAAGGAATGGATTTTTCTTTGCAAATCACATTATCACATAGTATACTCAGACGCTCACAATGTGAGCACTCGTGAAAGACTAAATCAGCATATCTTTAGATTAACGAAATCACCATAGAATAATAATCGATAGGTATTGTCGCCTAACGCTGAAATAATATAGCATTGTTAAATTTTAAAATATTTTTTAAAAATACAAGCACCCATACCAACAATTTTAAAGATTAGACGTTCAATTCACCAAATGATTTTTCTTAAAAATGTAATTCTGTTTTGATCTCTGCATAAGTTATCCACTCAACAGATTTTTATTGTAGTTCCATCAATACTACTAATTCACTCACAATAAACTATTGAATTTGTTGAGTATCCCATGCTAGTCAAGTGCGTTCACTTTCGTCTCATCCATGAGGATCAGGGCTGTTCTTTTTCAGTCTGAAGAGTATCTATCATTCCTTAGTGGCTTTGAACATATGATCCCTTTAGCTATCATATCCAATTTTACTAAGATCTATGATTACATTAAATGTAAATTTACGCTAACAAAAAAATCATGGCTATGAGAGAGTCTAGTACTCTACTTTTGTCACACACCATTTTACAAAAAAAAAACACCTAAAAACACTCTTCGCCTATGTCGGTTTAGTCTCTTTAAACAGTGCTTAAACGGTAAACCTAAGGCCACTTGTCTTATTTAGGCCATAAACAATGAATTAAGCCGTTGGATTTTAAAACCATTAAAGCCCGACCAAACAGAATCAAATTAAATGTGAGTAAATGAGCTAAATGGTCATTCAATTCACCATTTAGTCAGTAGCAGGATTACAACTACCAAATTAGCAACTAACTAATTGGCCTCGAAGTGTATGAGGTTGAGTGGGATTTACTTTTCTTTCATTTTTTATATAATACTAAGTTTTTCGCATGCATAAATATGTGTACTTTCTAATATATTTGACTTCTCCATACATAAATTGATAAATATGTATATTTCAGTGTTATTATACAAAATCTTTTAGTTCGTTTAACTCTGTTTGTCGGGTTCATAAACCCGGGGTCCCTAATGGACATGCTTCCCAGCAAAAGCTCGGCCCAGCAGACGATCGCTGCGAACAACGCGCAACTCCTAGGCCGGCCCAGATACCTAACGATAGGCCGGAAGGGCGATCCAGTCTCCGACCGGAAGGCCTGGCCAAGGAGGAACGACGCTCGCTTCTGACTCCGACCCGCCTCTCCGACCGGAAGGCCTGGCCAAGGAGAGGACGACACTCGCTTCCGACTCCGACCCGCCTCTCTGACCGGAAGACCTAGCCAAGGAGAGGACGACGCTCGCTTCTGACTCCGACCCACCTCTCTGACCATAAGTACACCGAACCTCTGCTTACAGCTCTTCTCCGACCGGAGCGGTCGGAGCCGACTGGGAAACGACCGAACGGGGATGCCCGCTCGGTAAGGACCCAAAGAATCAGGCGGAGCAAGTAAGGCAGGGCGCTCAAGTCAAACCGCAATACCAAGAACCGTACCCTGCACGCCTGCAGGAGGGTACTTTATAACCTTCCAGACATGTCAG